TTGAAATTAAATCTCATTTTTGAATATCCAAGTCAAACTCGACCGAATACAATACGAATAGTACGGTTCACGAGCTCTCCTTGTTAGTTGCCAGATTGAATCGAAGCGCACGTTCGTACGAGATTCCGAACCTACCTGCGAGCTGCTCGATCCCACCTCTACTTTCCTCTCGAGCAACTCTCCTCGATGGTTATTTCGCGCGTTTACGATAGCCCAGCCTTTATTCGACGGAGCAGGATCGAGGGAAGCACCGAGGACCCGAATCGGCGGCGAAGAATCGAGAAAGAAGAGGCCGCACGGCGCGTATCGATGTTTACGAGGCGAAATAAACGGCGGCGGCGGCGCCGCCATCGGCGTGCGGTTATTTCGTATTACTTTGGCCCTTTAATGGCGTCCTAAAGTGGCGCATAAAAATCGACGCTCGCCTCCTCGTAGAAGGTGGGCCTCGCCGGGGGCCCACGGGGGCGAACGCCGCAACTTCTACGCCCCAGCCAAGAAGAAGAAGAACTCTCGTTCGCCACGGGATTTCGGTTTCGCGGCCGTCGTCGCTCGTTTCCTTCGTGTTTGTCCCCCCTCCCCTCCCCTCCTCCACCCCTCGCCTTCGTGGTTGTCCTCGTGCACGAGCCCGGATGGTGGCTGCTCGAGCTTTTTGCCGGCAGCTTCCACTCATTGGCGAGTCCACGTGGCGATGGCTTTCTTCGCCGGTGATCCTCGATGATCCTCGCGATCGTCCACGGTGATCCAACGATGATACATTATGCATCGCCGCGAGACGCGGTGGCTCGTGATTCGCGTGATCCGGTGGCCGATCGACTCCGCAGAGACCGCAGAGAAGTCGCGGGGAGATCGATGTAAATGAGAAATCGGATCGAGGATGTTGCTGCTTGGTCGCGTGTGGCGCGACGAACGTATGATTACGAGTTTTTGCGAGTTTCAGATGGGAAAATATACACGGGCGTACAAAATATTGCCTTGGCTAAAAAGTAATTGTCTTTCTTTTTTTCTGATAGATGTATAATATTTGTGTGACACCTGTCCATATCTCGAACTTCGTTTTCAAACCGCAAATTCGTTTTGTAATCAGAGATTCGGATTGTTCGAGCTTGTTTCAGAAAAAGAAAATGCACGATTTCGTTTATTTCAAAATGAAAAATCATTTTTCGTCGTATTCTGCTGTGCAAGCTCATAAAAAATTGTCTAACGTGTACGAAGAAGCTCTCAGACTACAACACTGGTCAGAATTGGTTTGTTAAATTTCACTACCGACAAAAAATATCGTTCTTGGAACTTCTTTTTATCGAAAAAGATAATCGAATAAAATGGTCAATATATTAAATTTACGTTAATAAAGTTTTTGTTCCTCGTGAAAAATTCGCCTTTTATTTCCACGAAAAAAAAAAA